CAAGCGTAAACACATACCACACAAAATGATACTAAACGATTCGGGATAAAAACACACTTTCATAAGATGTATAATGATTAATTGTTCATAGATGTGTTTTTTTTTGGAATAATTAGCAATTTTCTACGTGTAAACTTTTGTTTTGACTCACACTGTATATCCACGTTTCCCTCTATACAAGACAAAGACAATGCATATAGTTTGTTTGTGTTTCTATATAGCGTATATTGTATTTACCCTGTCATGATATCTATCTATGCCATGATCTCTATATTTGCTAAGATGTGTTATGCATGTTACGTTATGGAAAATTGTATGTAATATGTGAGAAAACCAAATTTCCATTGAACAATAACAAATGAAATTGAATAGAGTGAACTGTAGGCAAGGTGTGAGACACGAATAGAACTATGACTTATTACGCAGTGCGACAAGTTTTCTCTTTTCAGTTTCATATAAACTTTGTGGAAGACTGTGTAGATTACATTTATGTAGTTTGGCTTTCTGTTAACTTTTGTGGGTATACATGTACGTCAATATGTATATATGTAGATAGATAGAAGACGGGTTTCTCTTAAGCATTGCAATTATTTTCATATAAATATGTAGGTCTATGTAATAATAACATCATTTGTTCATTTCTGCCCATGTATTGTAAGAATGGATAACTCTGGAATCGTTATGTTATGTTTTCATATTACCTATACCCTTTTTATATTATTGTTTATAGCCTTTATATTTCAACTATTATACGAAAATAGAGCACTCTACCTGAAATTTATTTACAACGTTCTTCCCAGTACTTAAAATATGAACGTTTTGAAATAGTTGTTATGTGTGCTTTCTGTCTGTCCTCGCCCATTTCGAAACATAACGTTTGATAAATTATATATATATACATATATATATCTACTGTATATGGAACACGTATTATGTCTTCGGTATTTAAAGCAATGCAAATGTACAATCTAGGAAGATATGAGCATTTCGTAAATTTGATATGCAATGTATTAACTCAGTCTCTTTAATTGTCTTCTTTAGAAGCGAAATATATACAAGAAAAGGATGCATTCCGTTAAAAACTATTCTTACTTGGTCTTACGTCATTAAAACAAATAGAAAGCAGTTTAATGTACGTTTAATAAATCTAAATGGCAACTCTTCAACGTATCCTTTTAAGTCTTTTGACATTTGCTATGTGTAAAATACCATATCGCTTGTTTATTAATGAAGGAATATATTCGCATCATATAGGAGTGAAACAGTTGAATTCTCAACTCTGACATAACATTGATTAAAATAAAAGGTGCATGTAATATGACTGAAAACTTTCTTTGGAAACAATATCAGTTTATGTTATGAATGTTTGTATAGAGCAACTTAAAGAGGACCTCTAAACATACGTTGTATAATTGCCAATTTGTAGTTGGTCGATTGCAACTGTAGAAGTTGTAACTTACTTCTTACATTTGATCTCATTTTGCTCGAAATTTGTCTGCTTCTACACTGAAAACGAAAGTTGGTCAAATGACAAAAAAAAATTAGTCATTCACTATGTCTTATTTGACTAAGAAATAATAAGTCATTGGTGCCTAAATTGACTAATATTTTGACTAATATATTGACTAATCAAATTATGTCTTATTTGACTAATCCGAGAAATAATTAGTATTGCATGAAATAGAATTAGTCCGTAATTAGTCCTACACTAAAATAAGTTAGTCTTATATTAGCCTTTCTACTAATTATTCCCTAGTTAAAGATGACACGATTAGTCTTTCGCTAAAAATGGCTGAATGAAACACTTTGGGATAACATACATAAAATTCAAATAAACTTCTTTTAATGAGAACTCTGCAATACAACAATAAAATGTACAGCAATTAAATCACCCATTTACATTATTTTAAGTAACAACAATTATAATAGCACTCCAATGTAGGGCCATATCCCAGGTTTTATTAAACAAAACCTTTCCTTCTTCATACACTTACTCGGCAAAGGTAAAAGCAAAAATGTGACATATTTTGTTCATTAGCGGCCTGAAATGTTACAGTGACTATCATCAATATTACAGTTTTTAATCAAAAATTAAATTATCCTTATACTCTATATTACAGAAGTCCCGGCTGGGTGCTTGATCCTACGGGATTTTGAGCTATATTTCATGCTAGGCGGAAAGTAAGTTTCGATTCCGCTATGTACATATGTATGTGTTACAAACGCAGCTATCTGACACTACAAGTATATTTGAAATTTCTGTCTCTGACAGGTTTCCCTTGGCTTAATTGTAATAATCCAATTATCAACATCAAAAACACTGTAATTATTAATATAATCCTTACATTAAAAATTGCAATCATTCTTACACTTAACATTTCACAATAAATTCTTGAAAATTTTGAATAAGCAATTATACAACTTGCACAACAAACACAGCTTATCTGACAAGTTATTTGCAATTTTTGTCCTACGCACGTTTCCCTGTAACAATTGTAATAATCATTACAACTAGAAACCCTGTAATATAATAATCCTTACATAAAAAATTGCAATCATTCTTACACTAACACTAACATTTCACAATAAACTCTTTAAAACTTGAATAAGCAATTAACAGCAGCTTCCACAGAGAATTTAGTTCCGATTCTTATGAAGATGGGATACATATAACAACATGCCACCAACATGGGTCCCATTTTTTGGTATATCTATATGACCCAAGCATGGTACTACAAAAAAAAAAAAAAAAAATGGTATTTGCATTTTTGTTTTGTCTTTCCCCATATTTGTCTAATTGATGACAATTCTATCATCTGCAATTTATCATTAAAAATATCTGAGAATACCTAGGAAAATGTTATTACCTCTACTCAAAGTTTGATCAAAACATGGGCAGTGATAGTATATAGATAGGTCACTTTCTTCAGTTGCTGCCCCTTTATCCTTTGCAGGGGCAAGTCCTTACCCTTACCCAAATCAAAATTATTTACAAATTCATGAGACCCAGTTCACCAACTCGCTCACTCATTGTAACTTTACACATACAGGGTTCCCTTAATCCCTTAAAATTTTGTTGAGTAAAACTTAGGCCTAAGAAAATTGTGTTTGTTTGCAGTAACCAGAGTCCTGAAAATGGGAGAAAACCAAAATCAAAAACATATCTGTCAAAGAATAACGATTTTTGTAGTGTCATTGACAAAAATAGCAGTATATTTAAATCATTTGAGGGTAATACAGTGTGAAATTCATTCATAAACAATAAGTATTTTAAAACCTGGTACAGCCAACTTCTATAATGTAAAGGCCTCCTTATACTATGTCAATTTATATCTGCACTACACCTGCTTTGTGTAACACTGCAGATATGCATTTAATTGTTCATAAATAAAATAGATTAATTTGAAAGTAAAATAACTTGCAACAAATGTAACTGATACATCACTAAATATACACCACACTACAATTCAATTGCAATGTAGACAGACTTCACCTTCTAAATATCTCACATTCGAGAAAGTTTCATAACAAAAATTGCTTAAGTTTGAATATGCTTTTTGCACATGGCATTTGTTTTTATTAACTGAATTCACAGATTATTAAATTGAAATTCACAGATTATTAAATTGAAATTTCCATTTACTTCAATATTTCATAAACCCCAAAAAATTCAGTTCAACTTTCACTAATTCAAATTTCCACTTACATTGATAATTCAGAAACCGAACAAATTCAGTTCAACTTTTTAACTCTAGTTTTTTGCTTGAATTAACATGCAATTTACACATTTTTGACTAATTGTTTCACTTGGATAATCATAACTGGGAGCTCTTATCCAGGCTCTTATTCAGCAGCCATATTGTAATTAAAGCAAGGATTTGGGGTTGCTGAAACTGTGCTGGATTTAGTATATTTGACCAAAGTACAACAACTTACAATGCAACCAGCAACCAAGCTCTGTTTTAATAGGTTTGAAAGTAGTCAAGTACAAAATAGAGATTAAATTTGGAAAGATGGGGGGCTAGCTTTCAGATAAATTGTTTATCTCTTGTTTGATAGCTGGAGAAGAAGTTTGAATCCAAGATTAGAAATTCAATACATTTGATTATGAAAGAGTAAGTTCATATTTCAAACTACCGAGCGAGTATAAAAAAACAACTAAACACTTCGGTATCATTTTTGTGTGGTATATGTGTTTACGTTTGGATGAACACGGCGCATTGTTTACAAGAATGTAAAAAGCGACTTGTGCCAAAGTGGGGGTGAGATCAAAACAACAAAAAAGCAACTTCATCCTGATTAAACCGACGTAACTTTTTAGTGAAAAGGTTTTGAGCAAAATAACTTAGCAAAATTGTTGTTACACCTATCGACTAGATTCTGTGTAAAAATGAGATTGATTTATCAAGTAATCCATGAGTGAGCACACATCAAAGAGCAAATGGTCACTTACAGACCTAAAAAGGACTCTTAATACTTTTGAAAAGTGATCATTTTGTCTTTGACGTGTGCTCACTCAAGCTTGACTCTACAGATCTATCTCATTTTTACACAGAATGTAGTCGATAGGTGTAACAACACCTGTGCCATCTTATTTTGCTCAAAACCTTTTCGTTAAAAAGTTATGCTATTTTAATCACGATGGAGTTGCTTTTTTGTAAGCTTTTATTGTTTTGACTTCACCCCCACTTTGGCACAATTCGCTTTTTACATTCTCGAAAATAATGCGCAGTGTTCATCCAAGCGTAAACACATACCACACAAAAATGATACCGAAGATGCGGGAGAAGTTACTCTTTCAAAGTATGTATAATAATAATTTGGGGTTCATAAATTGGTTTTCTTTTTAATGACAATTTTCTAAGTGTTTATTATTTTTTTTTAATCACTCAGTAGAAGGGTGACAGTGACAGTTCTCAAATTATGACTCTAAATCTGTAAAGTTTTGACATGAACCTGCAACCAAGAGATGAACATGTAGTCAGGCAGCTGGATGACTAATGTGTTTAATGCTGTGACTTTTTGGCCAATCTAGATGCGAGGGTAAGCACTGGTTTCTCCAAGCTGGTTCCATCTTTAATGCCAAGGAGGAAATTCTGGATGAAAGAGATCGTCTTTTGAAGTCGTGGTATATAGGCCAGATTGAAGACGTAGAATGTTGCTATGTAGCAGCTAAGTGCAGTATGAATTTGGTCTGTATTGCAGATTGACATCTCCTCGGCTACAACTTCAAAGCAAGTTGATTCAGAGACTTCTTTGTTGTTCATTTTGATGAACACAGAGTTTGGGTTTGGGGTCTCATCATCCTGGAAATGGGGGGGGGGGGGGACCAAAAAAAAAATCATTATAAAGTGCATGATGTCAAAGTTTCTTTAGTTATCTTGAGAAAGGTAGCAATTTCAACCCAGATAAATGAATGACCCCTCTTTTTTTTGTTGAAAAATTTGGTTTGGATATTGGTTGCATTTTTGGAAACAGGCAAATATTTTATGATTCTCTCTCTGTTGGTTTATTTATTGGTTGCGAAAATTAACTAATAAATCCCACTTTAGAGTTCAATTGGTTGAACAAACAGCCTCTTACATGAAATATTGGCTTGGAGTCTGGGTTGCAAATTTGGATCTTCTCAAATTTGGCTATCACGTAGTAATCAAAAGTTTCAGCTGGAAACCTGTACCCAAGTCAAATATAAGAACCCCTGGGATTACAAGTGCCCATAGTGTGAATGATCACTGCAATTTAGCTAGAAGATGTTTACCTTGAAAGTCCACATGTCTTTCGGGTCTTCTTTCAACAAGGTCGGCAATTTTACCGCGGCATATTCCAGACCATCTGTAATATGAAACATTGATTTAACATGAATTATTATTATTAATGTAAATCAGTCCGGTATTCATTCCAAGAAGCACCTGTGCATGTGATGACCAAATTAGGCAGCACATGGTTGCATGATCAATAACAAGCCTACAAACTTGAGAAAAAAAAACCGATTGGCAAATGGATATTTAAAGCCCTAATTTTGTGACGTTACTTACGAGCTGCTCCCCCATTCGCTGTTTACGTAATTTCCATAAATTTCTATTTTTTTGTGGTTCTTGATAAGGGAATATATTAATTTCGTAGGGGCATGTATATTAACATATGTTTGATGATAGGCCTATTTAGACCTAGCATATGTGAAATAATTAGCATTTTCCTTAAAAATAAGGCAATTGGATGTTATAGATGTTTAAGGTTTTTATATTGTGACATAACTTGCAAGCCGCTCTTCCTTATAATGGGGGAGCAGCTCGTCACTTGCGAGCTGCTCCCCATTATATGGAAGAGCAGCTCGCAAGTGACGTCACAAAATTAAGGCTTTAAACATCCATAACTTTGTTATTCTTTGGTGAATTTTCTTAAAACCTTCGCTCATATTTGTCTTTTATTTTTCTGCTTTTTTAAAAACCAATTTAATTCCATGATGAACTTGTTATGGGGCAGACAGGACAGAGTGGGAATTGCCCATTTATACATGCATTGCAATGCAATTGCTGCCCGACAAAACAATGTCGGACCATCCTCCATGCATTCACAGAGCCTTCGCTCATATTTGTCTTTTATTTTTCTGCTTTTTTAAAAACCAATTTAATTCCATGATGAACTTGTTATGGGGCAGACAGGACAGAGTGGGAATTGCCCATGTATACATGCATTGCAATGCAATTGTTGCCCGACAAAACAATGGCGGACCATCCTCCATGCATTCACAGAGCCTTTACGCATGCGTCAATTGGGACTGCGCACTCTAGTTTTTTTAATATGTCTCTATCATTGTCTATGTGAAAATGTAACCTTTTTTTGGGTGATTTCATGAAACAACAAAATTTCCGAAATTTGTTGTCAAAAACGCCCCTTTTTTGTAACCTTACACACAAGCATGGTTACCCAAAAGATTAATTAGTGAAGGACTGGGGAACAAAGTTGGTATTAGAAAGGACTTAATGCTTGGTAGGACAGAGGGGTCCAGAGAAGAGGAAGACAGTGAACAAAGTGGATCCATGACCTATCAACAGTACAGGAAAGAATATGGCTACTTTCAGGACGGTTTCCCAAAACAGACTTGACAAACTGGAGGAGAGTTGTGAATTTCATTGAAATCATCCGAGTCAAAATAACACTAATCAAAAGCACTATGTAAAGAGTACACCTAAAAGTTGTGCACCTGAAAACGTATAAATTTGAGTCCAGTGGGATCAAGTTATAAAACATCAAGTACATGGATCTACAGTTTTATCTAAACATGCACTTGCCTTTGTTTTCATCCTTCCAAGTTGCTGCCAGGTGCACTTCACCTTTGCTAACCTTGCTCCCCTTCAAGCACTCTCTGATAAGCCTTGGGCATATTTAGCTAGCCCTTTTTCCAGGAGCTCCACCACCCCTGCTCCTCCATGAATTCTTTGAAATTCTGCAAGAAGCTGAAACAAAAAAACAAAACAAGTCTAGATCTAATTTTCCACCTTAACATTATGCCGTTTGCACATACGAGTATACATAACAACTAAAACTAAAATCTGTACTCTAGATAAGTTAGACAGACAACCTTTGAACTGTGACGCCTACCATTATTAATATGAAGTTATCATCATAGACTTTTAGACTTTTTGCTCCACAGAGCCCAATGCAAATTACACACAATTGTGCACTCTGTGTGTGTTAAAGGCAAAGCTAAAGTTACGCACTCTAGGCCTAGATCTAGATCTAGGCCTAGATCTATTTAAAGTTTGATTTAACACTTCTAGTTATTTGTTTTCTTCCAAATTTTCGTGATTAATTATAAAATTGTATGATATAGATTAATAAAATTCTACCTTTTGACACCTTGCTTCTGCTTTTAGCCGTAAAACAAAGGGATTTTGAAATTTGAACTAAAACCTTCTGTGTAGTCACGGCGCCTGTATTAAGTGAATGCTGATAGTTTGGGCTCCATACAATTTTGCGCGTACCGGTATGCCGCAGTGCGTGAGCTTCAAGACCGGACCCGCGTAGCTTTAGGACCCCCGACCATACCGAGCATTTCAATTTCGATCGTCACCTAAGTTAGAATTCTAGTGCAGGACCACGAATGCAAATTAAATAAAATTACACATATTCATGAATGACACTAATTCAACCTTTACAAAAATTATTATAGTGTAAATATGTAGGCTTGTCTGGTAGATTTAACTTAAAAAAGAAGACATTTACAGCTTACCTCAGCTCAGCACATTCCTCATCAATTCAAGGCGCGGCAACCTTAAATTCAGTCCATGCTATATACAGTTGGAAACCCGTTGTGCGGATACGGTAACTACCGGTATGTAAAATTAGTATTTCACCAATTAATTAGTCATCCAATTAGTCGAGTGCATGATGATTCGTCAAAAGTTGTCGTAATGATGAAGTGCATTCGTCAATCATCGCTACTAAAATTAGTCAAAGATTATCACTCGTCGTGCATTAGTATATGGTCAAAATATGATTAGTCCATTTAATGACATAATTAGTCGACAATCTCATGAAACTAGTCCAGTACCGTATTTAAAAGAAGACTAATTATTTTGATTCACTGGACTAATTTTGTCAGAAGAATGACCAACTTACGTTTTCAGTGTATGTAAAAGCCAACTAAATATTTAAGTACACATCCTTTTTACGATTCATATTAAGCAATTATGGGAGTTATGATAACTCCGAATATTGTACGACGTTTCGCCCAATTATGACTCTGTAAATACATCAAAAAGTGAAAAATGTATTGTTTTGATATTAAACGAGAAATAAATTTAAAAAAATGAACAACCGAGAGGCATAGTAAATATATTTATTGGTGGAGAGAGAGAGAGAAAGAGAGATAGAGAGAGAGAGAAAAAAAGACAGGAAGACCGAGAGAAAAGGAGAAAGAGAGAAAAGAGAAACATATAGAGAGAGAGGGAGAGAGAAGAAGAGAGAGAGAGACAGAAACAGAGAGAGAGAGACAGAAAAACGAAAGGGCGGGGAAGATACATGAACATGTAGGGGATGATACAAAAAGAAAGGTTGCGTTTATAACTTCCTTTTTTTTTTTATATATGTGTTAGGTTCAAACCACTTTTGTCCTACGAAACATGGTTGCGAGGAGTTGTGAATGCAGCTTCATTTGCTATCACGTTTTACATCATTACATTTTACGGCAAATGTGAAAAACCGTGCACGAATCCTTCGGCAGAGGTATAAACGAGGTATACCGTCAGACAGTATTTCAAAATTGTGCACCATATTATTGTTTCAAAACACTGATTTGTCTTCGCACTCGAGATTTAAATAGATACCGGGGGAGGGAGAGAGAGAAAGAGAGAGAGATAAAAAGAAAGATAAATGAGGAGAAAAAGAGATGGCAGTTTTATGAGGACGGGGTTGTGATTGTGACTAGTGCAGTCGAGAAAAGGAGATTAGTGTACTGTGACCTGTATGAGAGAAGTTAAACACGCGTATTCTTTTCTTGTCTCTTTGTTGTTAAAATAACTAAGTCGGTCTAATTAATATGCGCATATCTCATCAAATCAAAATCGAACATGATACATCAATGAAACCTATGTATATCAGACAGGTATGGGATTTTTTTTTTTTTTTAAGAAAAAACATTATGAATATTCATCAAATATGCAAATTAGGTAATTTCAGCTAATTATATATATATAGGAAAGTCAAACTGTTCATTTTGTTGGCATTTTTTAAAATCATATATTTATAGATCATATTTACACCAAATATTAACATTAAATTCCAAATGTTTTTGCAATGCCAATAAAATATGGCGATGGAAATTACTTGGATCACTGTTACAGCTTTTCCCTCATATGTTTCACAAATTATTCAGAAAAATCGAATAAATAATAGGAATTTGCAGACTTTCAGCTACATCACAGTATAGTTGTTTTTTTTTAAATGTCAGATTTGAAGATTTATGACGATTTTCCGAGAAACTATTCAATTCAACAGGCCATAACATTCCACAGGGACTGAATTTTAGAGAAAAACTAAGTTTGGTGACCTTAGTACAATTGTGGCTACCTTGAGTGTAAATAACAAATTGATTCAATGAGTGAAACACATGAGAATATTGCATTTTTTAGGGGAGTTTTATACATTGAGGTGCATTTTCACCAGGCAGAATAACAGTCAATGGGCAATCAGCGGGCCATGTCACATATGGCTGAAAAGACAATATTCTAATTAATAATTTAACATATTTCCCACATGTCTATAACAATGAAACTAAGGTATGCTTGAAATATATGTGAAATAAAAAAATAAAATATTGTTCAGTTTAAAAAAAAAAAAAAAAAATTACGAGAATTTTCTACCAACTGACTGCTGTTGTGTGTGTGTATGTGCATGGGGCAGACTGTGTGCACAGGCAGTGTGGTCACCCTACTCATAGTACGTGTTGATTGGTCCCATTTTATCCTGTGGTATGGAATCGCAAATATCATTTGGCTGCCCGAATGTTTTTTTTAAAGAAAATGACGGTAATCACGCAACATTTAACAGGTTTAATGTTCAGTTTTACAGCAATATAGTTAAGGTTTTAAGAAAAGAAAATGGTCTGAATTGAAACGACAGAACCCAAACGATCCACACTAGTATGTTTAAACTTGACACCATGGGAGGTGGTCCAATGTTTTTTTCAAGAATAGTATCAAGTGATTCTATATCGGCCCTTTTAAAACAGATTAATTTACCCAAAAATGGAATCCACAATTTTGGGTTATCATCATTTTATAGGCCTATGTAACTATAAAAGAAGAAAGGAAACAAGTTACAAATGAATAGATGAAATTTCATGAATACTACAATTAACATATATCATTTTATGTTAATATTCATTGCAAAATGTAATCGTATACGGCGAAGATAGCACAGTAATGCACTTGGTGTGGGGGGGGGGGGGGATTGGAAAGCCACTGTTTAATGATATCACCTGTGTCTCATAATCACTGTTCTTCATTTTGTAGTGTTGAATCTTAAAGCAAAGGTATTCTGACGCAATCGAATAAACAAACAAAAATAAAGAAATAAAGAAAAAAATAGGAAAGAATGAAAGAAAAAAAATATATATATAATAAATAAATACACAAATACAATTTAGGTGGCGCCACCAACGACCGTAATTGAAATTCTGAAAAGCAACCTCAAAATATTGCTATATATGAGTGGAATAATCACTATCAATACTTCAGATCTCCAGCAACGGAGGGGCAATGGGGAGGGTGTGGGACCTATCATTTTTTTCATGCGGCATCCCCCCTTCCCCTCCCTGTTTTTCTGTCCGTCTGTCTCTATGTCTGTCTCTCTCTATCTATCTCTCTTTCTTTGCCTCTCTCTCTCTCTCTCTCTCTCTCTATCTTTCATTCCCTCTCCCTCCCTCTCTCTCTCTCTCTCTCTCTCTCTCCCTCTTTCGCCATTGCCATAGGATGATGAGGGAGAGTGAGTGCAAATGATTACTTAGGTTTGCCGTTATAAAGTGCCCGTAGTTTGATGTATGTCGTTAATTAGCAAGGGCCTAATCAAATTATATATGTATCATAATTGTATACTGTTGGGCAAACCAATGCATGGAAGTCACTGAATATGTTGTTCCGAAATATTTGGTGTAGACCATGAATTCATGTGTATATTATGAAACCTTTTTGAACAATCTCTCTGCTTGTAAGTATCGGCTTGCATGGTGATGTAGATATACAGTAGGCTTGCGGGTACAACAGTCCTTTTCAGGACTACACACCCTCAAGAAAGATTATCGAGAGATTATCGATCCTCCCTCTCTCTCTCTCTCTCTCATGGTGCACTCGCAAGCCTACTGTAAATCTGAAATGTGTTTAGGATAACATCGTATTTATTTCACAATTTCAACCTTCAATCTGACAATCTTTAAAAAAGGAGGCGCAATCATTGATGGTTGTGGAGATTCTGAAATGGAATCGTAAATAACAGGTTCTTAGCTCTCAACTAGCTTCACCCGAGCTATCAATTGTTTTGGTTTTGCTTCGATTGTTAAGGCCTTTCTTCGGTTGTCAAGGACATATTATTTCTTTCTCCCTTATTGGTATCTACTTTTGCATCATGCGAAGGAATTTGGTGTTTTATTCGAACTATTCTCTTAACTATTTGACTTTTATGATCTGCATACAACCTTCTCGGTCTCGTCCACTCCTTCGTTCCTTTTCTTTTGTCCCTTCATTTCACCTTATATTTTTGTGTAAAAACACCGACAAAAAAAAACTAAACAAAACAAAGCTTCAAGTGAGTGTTTAATTTAAAAAGAAAAATCCGTCATCATCTCTTTCCTTTCTTTCT